CAGAGCTCCGCTTCGACGCAGATGCCAGCAAGGTGGAGGTGGGGTACTGGCATTGGCTGGTATTACTAAAGACGAGCTTGTTGGACCTTTTCGGGTTGCAGATGGACTCAAAGTGAACTCCAAAACCTGCTGCCAGTCTTTAGAAGACACATTCAAAAGGTCCATGATTTTTATCCAAGACAACGCTCCATCGCACGCATCGAAGAAGGACGTCTATACTGGTCGCTGATTGTTTTTTGAAATGTCAAAAAGGTTGATTTGTAAATTTGAAGTTGTTTTCTATTCTGACAAATGAAAATAAACAAGTAAGAATGGAAAATGTTGGAAAATGCGTAATAATTCGGCACACATGGATTTTCTCCAAAGCCAAAACTTCACTTTTACTTTCTCAATTAAATATTCAGGTTTGAGGTTTAGGAAAGTTTTAAATTGACCTAGAGCGGTGTAGTTATTCAATTATAAAATTAACCCTCATAAATTGCCTAATAATTATCCACACAGTGTACAGTATGTCTTCTCAACACCACTACTAATGACAAAATTACATCCCTGTTCCTCGAAGGCAAACATCGCACCTACGCCATTAAAGCTGTTTAACTATGGATAATGTAAGCACTGATTGGTCTAATGACTGACGAGGCTCAGAACAGCGCACGCTACTGCTGTGTCCTCGAGCAAGACGCTTCACCCATCATGCTGTATCAGTAGTAGTTCATTTGAAAAGGTTTGCGGTGGTCCAAAGTTATGCCGCACTTACCTAATGCATTGAGAGGTCTGTCATCACAGTTCTGTTTAATGTGCCTGAGGAGGTACATTAAGCTCAAATGTGAACAATATGCAGAGGTCTCTTAACTGTCCCACCGATTAGAACAAAATCGGGTCAATGTACAGTGATGTACAGAGCCATGGTTGAGTGGAACTCGCTTCCTCTTCAGATTAGTACAGCTAATAACAAATCAAGGTTTTAAAAAAAAAGTGAAGAACTATTTTACTGTTTTATAGCCCTTCGCAATCAGTAATCAGTAATGAATTCTATTAAGATTTTATTTATTTTTTTTTGATGATGTTAATCTTTGTGCAACTGTTTTGTTTGTAAGTGTCTTCTGTGTTGTTGTTCTGTGTTATATGAGTCTGGTCAAGTGGTAACGGAGGGAAACAGGGTCAGATTTTTGACATTCAAATGTCTCTTATTCAGAAACGAGAGGGACTATTGAAATAAGTAAAGTATCAGAATGTAGGAAAGAGTTACACTCCAACAGGGTCAAGTTAAACCTGTGATATTCTTTCAAGTTGTTGACAAAAAATTTAAAAACTCATGTTGGTAATGGAGGGAATGAAATATGCAGCACTTTTTGGTCAATAAATCCAAACAGTGATAACTAGCGATTCTCACTTCCATATCCTTAACAAACTGGTTTGAATATTTGCTTCATATAGTTTTCTACCATATGGTACAAGATTAGGTTGAAAAACCTGTTACTTTTTGAGTCATGAGATTTTTTATTAAGAAAGGTCATGGTAACAGGGAAAAGTAACAGAGGGAAAATTGTGCAAAAAAGTAGAAGGTGCAGGATTTTACATAATTTGTCAGCTTTTTTCTTCCAAATATTTTAATATTACTTCAAAATGAAAGGTAACTATTTTTACAAAATATGTCAGTCCTTCCAAGCAGATTTTTATCATTTTAAATACATTTTTTTTTGAAAAATCATGTACCTTCATCAACAGTTCAAAGATGGAATAACACAAGATATGATGAAATACATCCATTTATTTACATGATTTTGCAGGTCTTTGAAATTTGGGAAATAACTTTTGTTCCATGTTTCATACATGGTCTGTTTAAAATGTATGGAACTTTAGAACCAAAAATGGTGAACAGTTTCAGGCGGCAGTAGCTCAGTTGGTAGAGCATTCGCCCACTGATCTGAAGGTTGGTGGTTCGAATCCAGCTCTCTACATAAACGTCACAGGTTGAGTGGTCAGATCCACTGACCCACAGGTTGGCTGGTGTGATTCCAGCTCCCACATATGAATGCTGCTGCTGTGTCCTTGGGCAAGACACTTAACCCACCCTGCCCACAGTGTCTGTGTACACTGGTGTGAATGGGTGAGTGGTTCCTTGTTGTAAAGTGCTTTGAGCACCTTGAAGGTGAAAAAGCAGTATAGAAAAATGTGACCATTTACCATAAACTAGAGTACATATGTATCTGTTAGAATAAATTTTTTATATCAGATGCATTAACTTCAATTTTTGGCTTTGCTGTTTACTTCTGCTTGACCGGGCCCATATGTGGACCCCAGAAAGAGTACCTGGTGTCATGGACATCAGCTCATGGGGATTCAAAAAAATCTAAATATCAAATGCTGACTAGCAACTAGCATGCTAACTGTACCCTTCCTGATTATCGGACAATGTAATATAACACTTTAGATGCAGACAGTGCACGGCTTACACTTATTTTGACCTATTTACTGGGGAAAGACACATTTAGGTTAGGGCAAAACAAAAATCAGGTACAGCTCCTTTAAGTGGTGGTCAGAGCGTGTCGGCCCCACCTCATATAATGAAGTGCTGTGCCAGTGCAGGTTTTTCCATCTTTACCTAATACCTTATTAGGTAACTTCGCTTAACTGACTTTTTTGTTTGTCTGCTTTCGTACATATTTTCCAGATTTTACTTTACAGATAACCACTTTCTCTTTCAACTTCAAAAGACACTAATGTGGCCAAAAACAGAGCCGAGTTGTCCAAGTACTTTTAAAATTTTGATTTACTTGTCTCAAAGATTAAAAACAAACAATGTCATTTATTTTCCAACAAGTCATGATGTGTTTGAGAGTGAGCGCGACGAAGCCAAAGGATTCTCTTCCACTCTTTAACGAATATTTGTCAAAACTTTTTACATAAAACATTATTTAATTACAAATTTTAATCTCCTCTTTTATACAAGATATGTTCTCTCCACTCCCCCTGCTGGTGAAATGGGCTGTTGCAGGTATTACATATATTGACTCTGAATCTGGGTCAGTGTGAGCATGGAATTGTGTGTAAATGTAATTGCTTTGCTTGCTTCTGCAGTATGGCCACCAAGCCAAGTTACAGGTCAGATCCGTAGAGAGGCGAGCCCACACACTGTAAGAATACTTAGAAGAATGTTATTAAGTCATTAAAGAAACTGTATTAAGAATTAGATTAAAATGTCATGAACATCACATCACACAAATCAAATTTAGCTTTTACTGATTTTAATTTGTATTTAATCTGAATTACATAAACACTGGACAAGTTGTTTATGTCAGGGGTCCCCAACCACTAATCCAGGCCTTGTTCTGGGACTGCTCCCTCCAGTGGTCCCTTAAAAAATGTTTATGTTTATTACCGGTCCTAATGAGAATAAAGTTTGGGGATCACTAGTTTATGTTATTATTTAGTGTTCAGGTTCTCAAGTTGATAATCCAGAATGAGCCTCTCGAGTCTCTCATTTCGATTGCCAGTTCCAATCCTGAAATCCAGTTGGTTTAAACCAAAAAAGCCTCTCTCTGATCTCAATGATCTCTACCTAAACCCCAGCGTCTTCAGCCAGTCATGACTCAGTGCTTGTTCAGCCTCTGTAGGTCAGTGAGGGAATTCTGGAGGTTCAGATTTTTCACATGAGGCCTGGCCTGTCCAGAGAGAATTGTATGTGTCTGTATTTCTGAATATGGAGGTTAAGACACTGAGCCCAGGTACAGTTGTGATTGTTTTTTGCCTGTAAATGAGTAAATGCAAGAAAGAAATGCAAATGTAATAGCATACTGTGGAACGTCCCATGCTGAGCTGTTACATCTTCATATAGAGACAAAGATGGCAGATTACCAGCACACGAACTACACAGGCCACCATCATTTAAAACCTCTCCTGTCTCACTGCCGTTTGACAGGAGGATGGGTCAGAGAACTGTGTCAGGACAGTTTGAGGCCCTCTGGACAAAAGTGTCCCCTCCCTTTGTCCTGCAGCCTGGGCATCACACCAGTGTCCACGCCTCACTCTCACTTTACTGTGTTGTTTTGTTTGGTGATGAAATGGGCTATTCCTTGGAGTATTTCCTCAGGAAGATCTTCTGCCACATTTGGTGTAAAAAGTCGGTAGCATCTCAGAGGTCCATAGCTGCTCCTTAGCTAGTTTCTCTCTGTTAATGTTCAGTCCCTCTAACCCAGACATGTCAGACTCAGGCCCGGGGGCTAAATTTGGCCCGCGATATAATTATATTTGGCCGGCGAGATCATATCAAATATGTATTAGAGCTGCTGGCTACAGAGACATTATTTATTTAAAATTTTGTTATTATTTTATATTATGTTTGTTCTGGATTCAATGTTTAAGCAAAACTATTATTAAACATTTATTTTAATAAGAAAAGGTTCAAACATTACATATCTCAAAAGAAGAGAAAACATACAGATGTTGAAATTTTTCAATAAATATTTAGTTTGGCCCATGATTTAGTCCCAGTTTTTAATTTTGGCTCCCTGTCAATTTGAGATTGACACCCCTGCTCTAACCCATAGTTTCCCAAAGACTGGGTTACAATGGGTGGGTCCCTCAGGTGGGTCACGAGAGATTCTTTTTGGGGATGCCTTGTCACAATCTACATGTAGATCTGCAATATACAGTTCTACAGACTATTTTGTTCTAATATTGCTGGTTCAATTGAATGTTGAAAAGAAAAAGAAATGGGCTACATTTAATGTCCAAATAGTCGACTTATGGATCCTTTTATTGCTGCTTCATTTACTGTTTTTCATTGTTTAAAATGTGAGTAATACTATTTGATCAGAGAGACACGATCACTCAGTCAACCAGAAAATATCCTCATTAATGTTCAATAATGGTCAAATCCACCTTTATTTTGTTATTTATGAATAATGTCTATTGACTTGGGTCACAAAGTTTTGTGACTTTTGAAATATGTGTCCCCAGAAAAGCGCTAACCCACTGTGTTTTCTGGTTGTTTTTAGTGATACACACTGTCCTCATGGAACCTGTGGACATCCTGGGCCCCAACGCCACCGAGGACCCCATGAGAACCGACGATGGCAATGCCGCCACATTCACCATCGGCACCATCCTCTCCATCATGTGCCTCGTGGGCGTGTCCGGCAACATCTACACCCTGGTCGTCATGTGTCACTCCATGCGATCGGCGGCGTCCATGTACATCTATATCATAAACCTCGCATTGGCCGACCTGCTATACCTGCTAACCATACCTTTCGTCGTCTGTACGCACTTTCTTGGAGATTGGTACTTCGGCAATGCTGGCTGCAAGATCCTCATCAGCATCGACTTCCTGACCATGCACGCTAGCATCTTCACGTTGACGATCATGAGCACAGAACGCTACTTCGCCGTGCTGAAACCTCTGGATACGGTAAAGAGGTCGAAAAGCTACCGGAAGGCGATAGCGTTGCTGGTGTGGGTGGCGTCGCTTGTGCTGACGCTGCCGACGATCGTCAGCATCGAACTCATGACGGTGGGGAACAAAACCATGTGCTTGCCTACGCTGTCGCCGATTTCGTACAAAGTTTACATCACGCTGCTGTTTTGCACGAGTATAGTCGCACCAGGGCTCATCATTGGCTACCTGTACATCCAGCTCGCAAGGACCTACTGGATTTCACAGACGGTGACGTTCAAACAGACCAAGAAGCTTCCCAATCAAAAGGTGGGTGTAATCATCGACCATACTGTCCTACAAAGGTAAAAGACCTTAACTCGCCACGGTGTGAAACTGAGAAAAATGACTTAAATGTTTATGTTTTGTCCAGACAAAAGTATAATAGACAGGGCTCCCAAAATTTGACAACTAGTTGCTATAATGAAGAAATATTTGTACGTGAAAAACATTGCAGACATGAAAATGGATCAGGGGTGAAAAAGGTGACGTGGCCTCTGTAGTCTGTAATCAAAATAGCACTAATCAAGAGCAGTCTGAGACCACATTGTTCCAAGACCAGACCTAGACCTCCGAGGGTGGAGTAAGGCCGGGTGATATGGATCAAAACATATATCTCGATATATTTTGCTATATCTCGATATACGATATATATCTCGATATCTGTACAGGAAAAATAACCTCCTAAAACTGAAAACTGCAAAAACAAATATGCCAAATTCCACAAGGTATTTTTTTTTATTGAAGTGCAAGAGGTTCGGCAGTTCATGTAGGAACAAAGTGCTTCTGCCTCATTTAAGATTACAAAAAATCCCTAATTACATAAATAATAATTTAACTGTAAAATAAAATAAATAATGCATATATCCTTCTTTTCATTCATAAATAAAACAACTCAACTCGAGCTCATCTTTGCATTAACTCTGTTATCCAGACCATAATCATAACCATTAGCTCCTTCAGCAGAGGAAGATTGGGAGGTTCCTTATTTTAATAACAGATCCATGTTCATATCCAGCGTAAGGAGCTCTGAGGTTTCCCACAATCCACTGCAGATCAAACCCAAAGTTTCCAAACACTATTGTACAAGTGACACTGCAGCAGATTATTCATTAAAATCTTCTGCATAAATAAACTCTACATTATCAAACTTTACAACATATAAACCATAGCAACTCTAGAGCCACATCAGCCCGTTTGACATTATAATGTGTTTAATGCAGTTTTGTGCACGTGTTTACATTTTACAGAAACAAAACTTAAAAGCGCATGGCTCATTTGCATAAACAACATGCTCCTAATGTGGTTCAGCTTCTTTCGACTAAAGGACATGACTCAGTGTTCATATGAGTGTTCTCTCTGTGACAGAGGATGTGCTGCTGATGGTTTTGTCTGTAAATGGAGGAAAAGGTTCGTGGTGCTAGAAGATTTTCACTGGTACCAACTTTGGGCATTCACGGCGGTAGTGACGAGTGAATGAGTGAAATCAGAATTAAATATAAGCATTATATCGATATATACAATATGTCAGAATCCATATTGAGTTTAAAAAATATATTGATATATTTAAAATATCAAGATATCGCCCACTCCTAGGTTGAGACCAAGACAAGACAAAGACTTAAAGGTCGAGACTGAGACAAGACCAAGAGCATGGCCCATTGAGACCAAATCAAGACCATCTTTGTCATTTTCTACATTCATTTCAGCAAATTTTGCCAAAAGGTGAAAGATTTTCATACCTGATCTTGAGCTCAAAACTGACCTTTGCCCCTTATTAGTCAGTTCCTGTACTCTGCCTTTGTATCATGTGCCAAAAATAAGGAGTCATGCAAAAACAAAAGGCAATAACTGACATTTGCTTGATATTCCCCAGACTTCCATCCATTATAAGAACGCCTCACTAAGGCTAAGGTTTGTCATCATGTTTGTTAAGAAGAACTTTGGATTTGCTGTTTAGTGCTGATCAAGATCGTGCAGCGACATTTACACAGTTAAACAGTTTGACAGATGTACATACTTTACTTTGCAGTAAAGTATGTATAGTATGAATAAATGCACAAAATACTTTCACATAAAAGATCACTTAAGTATAATTGAATACAAAGGTTTATTAATTGATTGTGTTTTGACCCTGTGCCAAGGATGCAACAAAAAGAAGGGTTAGATGGTGAGTTGTTTGATTTTAAAATAAAATATATTTATGAACTAAATTACTAACAAGACATGTACTGTTACTGCCTTTTGCCTTTGTACAACTCCTTATATTTGACACAGGACAAAAAGGCAGAGAACAGGAATTGACTGGGTCAAAGGTCAATTTTGAGCTCAATATTTTTCAAGATATTTGTTCACATGGTAAAGGCTCTCAAATACAAACAAAATGACATGAACTCAGTTTTGACCAAACATGATGTTACGGCGTTCTGCCTTTGTAGGGCAGTATATATACTTACAAATCCATATATATATAAATGGAAATAGGTAACGCGCTTCCAAATAGGAAGTGAACATGGGAGCACTTCCAGCTCCACTGACTCTGGCTCCAATTGACTTAACATTGAAAAATTGTCACCTCTCTATCTGTAACTGCTGCTGTGAGCCTCATCATTTTAGTCTTAAGGCAAGGTGAATGGGAAAAAAAAAAATCTTAAGTTTAGAAATATCAATTTGAAACTCCTCCTGTAGTTTACTCCCAGAATTGTAAGAAAAAACATATTATAAGTTTTTCATCATGTAATTTTTTTCATATAAAAATAAAGCATTTAATGTGGGAAAACAGCCAAAATTTACAATTTTTAGGAAAATGGAAAGAACCAGGTTTAAATATGTTGCTTTTTTTTTTTTGCCATAGTAAATAAAAAAAAAAAAAAAAAAAAAAGCAGATGGGATTCTGGATAGCTTATTTAGTATTTGAGTAAACTAGATCTGACAAAAAATTTGCCTAAAAATTCAAATTTTGCATAATTTTTTGGGTTAAAACTTAAACTGATCAGACTTGGAATAAGATATCAAAGATTGTTCTGTACATTTTGTCATAATCTTGTTCAAGGTAAGACTGGAGACTTTGGTGTGTGTCGGTGCTACTTTCAGGGCTGATCCTTATGTCCCTAAGAGAGGAAAATACATTTTGCGAAAATTGTGTGCGAAATGTGAAAGTATATATGCTAAATTGACCAAAAAACTCTCCTTACATTGACAATATTAACCAGTTTTACATGATCCTTGTGTTATTATTTCACCATTTTGTCTGTAAATCAATTTCTATTTCTTCAATGGAACGTGAGCTTCATTTGAGTGGAGTTGAACACTGTGGGTGACGTCACACTCCCTCTGTCCACCTCTGTATACAGACGAGTAATATAGGCTTATGTCATATTTTCTGTCCTGGTAATTTTGTACTGCAGGGTGAGTTGAGGTTGCAGGGTTTTGATTTTGGGATTTGGCAACCACACACCAAGATGACATCAGAGTATAATTTGTCACAACAAATAACACATCTCCAAAATGCTTAAAATGCCCATATTAGGCCCGTGTTCTGACTTCTGTTGTAAATGTTCCTCAGCACAAACATACCTGCACTTCTGTTTTGTTTCATTCACACATGTTTAATACACAAACCCTGCATATTTAGACTGAATTCTTCTCTCAAACTGAAAACACTCTGTTCAACATTGTGATGTCATGCAGTAATACATAAGTGCTCCACTGTGTATTTAAACTCCACACACCTTCACTAGAATCATCTGGATTATTTCAGACCTGGAACTGCCGATCTCTGCCGAAGGTAAAAGGGAGCAGTTAACTCGAATACTACCTCTTCATGACATCACAAGGGGGAGCAAAGCGTTTTGAGTAAGGGTGGGACTTGAATAAAAAAAAAAAAATCTAATTAATTACAGGTTTTGTTATTAATTAATCGCATAATAATATTTGCCTTGCTCATTTTCTTCCTGAAGTCCGTCATTTATTGGAGTTTGAGCTGCTGACGCCTCTTGTTTGCGCTCGGACCAGAACAGCTCCAGCAGTTTCTGTGCTGCAACATGTTTTGCATTTTGGTATTTACTGTAATGGTATTTAAATTTACTGTCCGGCAGACCCACAGCGCTTTCCTGCCCCATTGTTGTTGTGTGAGTCAGTGTAATTGTTGTGCCATGACATCGTGCTCTGACAAATGTTGTTTGGCATGCAAACAGAATGCCAAACATGCGTTAATATTTTTAATGCATTCAGGGTTTCCACGGTCATGGAAATCCTGGAAAAGTCATGGAAATTGAAAATGTCACTTTCCAGGCCTAGAAAAGTCATGGAATTTTGTAAATTCAATGAAAGTTTTGGAAAAAGTCATTGAATTTTAGTACCTTGTTCATGCAACTACAGTGTTCAAGTTCTCATTAGACTATTACGATTATTTCTGAGCATCTGCGCCTTTTGTTAAAAAAAAGACAACAATAAATGCACTGACAGGATTTTAAATGTTCAAAAACTATAATCCCAAACCATAAGGTGAGTGGAAAGGGTTAACATTTCATATTTAGCTCTAAAAGTCTAGCGAGGGGAAAAATCAGTTTGTCGACTGGACAAAAGTTAGTTTGGTTGAATACGTTTCGCAGCTCAGTTCTTCAGAACTGAAGAAGCAGCTTGGATTAGCTGTGAAACGTCTTCAACCAAATTAACTTTTGTCCAGTCAACAAACAGATTTTTCTCCTCGCCGTGGATTCTGCCTGGACGGCTGAGGAATTCTTCACACCTCTAAAAGTCTGATCAATTCTACACATGTAGCTGCCATAAAGTCACAGAAAATTCACTTTAGGTTAAAAAAAGTCAAGGAAAAGTTTTAACATTTTGTCAGTGAAAAAGAGTGGGAGCCCTGTGTATTACTGTCTTTGTAGTTTACTTTAGTTTATTTGACTTATTTAGTGTCATGCACCATTTAGCTGGTGCCCAGCCTGCATGGGCTTATAAGACACATGGAACAATAAGCAGACAGACCACACATCAAACATAAAGTGTCCTCATACCGGGGTCCCAGGCTTTCAACACAAACTGAGCCAGCCCGAAAACATAACATTTAAACAAATTCACCGACCTCTCCTCATCAGACACAGCAAACTAACAGTAACATACATTATACAACAACGGACAGCGCAGGTCATGATACATAACCTACCTCTAGTTTTGAGCTTTGGAGATGTAGACAGACTAATAATAAAAGATTACTCAAACATGTGGGAATTAAACGAAACACAACTCCAGGTCTGTTTTTGAGG